GCTGCAGCCTCCACCTGCTGGGCTCTGGAGATCCTTCCGCCTCAGCCTTCCAAGTAGCTGGAACTACAGGTATGCGCTACCACGGCCGGCCCATTTTTTATTTATTGTAGAGATGAGGTCTCGCCAAGTTGCCCAGGCAGGTCTCGAACCCGCGGGCTCATGCAATCCACTCACCTCAGTCTCCCAAAGGCGCGGGATTACTGACTGAGCCACCGAGCCCGGCTAATTTTTTTTTTTTGAAGCTGGAGTCTCACTCTGTCGCACAGGCTGGAGTGCAGTGGCACGCTCACAGCCGCCCCAGCATCAACCTGCTTGGGCTCTGGCGATCCTTTTACCTAAATCTTCCAAGTAGCCAGAACTACAGGTGCACGCTACTACGCCGGGCTAATTTTTTATTTCTATTGTAGAGATGAGGTCTTGCCAAGTTGCCCGGACTGGTCTCGAAACCGCGGGCTCAGGCAGTCCACTCGCGTCAGCATCCCAAAATGGTGGGTTCACAGGCTGAGCCACTGAGCCCAGCCAAGAAAGTCAACTTAAAAGACAAGAAAAGAAACTAAATTTTAAAACTACTGAACAAATTAGACTTATTTGTAGTCTTTCCATAAGCAATATGATGTGTTACAATGATACCTGTTTTGATTGAGTTCTCTAAGAAAATGGCATAAAATGAATGGGAAAACAGAGTATGACTCATCTCACTATGGTATGAACCATGCTATTCACAAGCTAGGCATCTGGTGGAACAGTGACACGCAAGTGCAAGTATAATAAAATACCAAGGAGGAACCGACGTCACCTCCAAAGTGCTAGCTCTGCAAATCCATATAGTACACAAAACTCCTAAATCTATTCCTCCAGATTTACCTATTGTACCCAAAGCACAGCCACACACACTTCTGTCATTTCAAAATCAAGTGCACTCGTATTCATCATCTTTACCACCAAACTACTTCCCCTCTGCAAGTTCCCTGTTTTCTTGCAGCTTTGGCATCACTAGTGACTTTCCCTTCTCCTTTTCCCTTCTCCTTTTTTTTTTTTTTGAGGTGGGGATCTCACTCTGTTGCTCAGGCTAAGTGCAGTGGCACGATCATGGCTCACAGCAGCCTCAGCAACCTGGGCTCAGGCGATCCTTCTGCCTCAGCCTGAGTAGCAGGGACTATAGGCAGTGCAGTATCATGCATGGCTAAATTTTAAATTTTCTGTAGAGACAGGGTCTAGCTATGTTCTGTAGACACAGGGCCTCAAACTCCAAGGCTCGAGCAATCCTCCCACCTTAGCCTCCCAATTTGGTGGGATTACAGGGTGAGCACCCAGCACTGACTCACTGAATTTTTCCCTTATAGATTTGTTTCCCTATTTACACTGCCATTACTTTCATCTGAATCCTTATTACTTCATGCCTGGATTGCTGCAAGTCTCCTATGCTGGAGACTATTGCCAAATACGTTTTTATGCAAACTAATAGCGATTAGATTTGCATGGATCTGCTTAGCCTTCTGTCCTGGTTCCTGGACTGTTCTCTGCTCTAGACTTCTTTTTTTTTTTTTTTGAGTTGGAGTCTCACTCTGTCGCGCAGTGGCTGCTCCCGGCCACCACAGCCTCGACCTGCTGCTGGGCTCCGGCGATCCTTCTGCCTCAGCCTTCTGAGTAGCCGGAACTACAGGTGCGCGCTACCACGCCCAGTTAATTTTTTTGATTTATTGTAGAGATGAGGTCTCGCCAATGAGAGGACAGTAATAAAATATACCATGGACTTAGGTTAAAAGCATGCTATTGAGAGACCCAAGAAACCAAGAAATTTTAAAAGCCATACTTGCTGTAAAAGTAGTGTTTAGTTCACTATATTTTATATATTCCTACCTCATGTTTACTATATATTTTGTGTATTCCTACCTCATGTTCATTGTACTTTATGAAATCTTAGTTACCTCATGTTTACTATATATTTTGTGTATTCCTACCTCATGTTCACTGTACTTTATGAAATCTTAGTACTTTAAATCCTACCTCAGACTCCGTAGAATTAGGCATATGTCGGGTGCCGGGTAGCGACTGATTGTGTAGTTATATAATGTCTTAAGTAGTGTTTGTATTTAGAACTCTTGGGTTAAGCATTGTTAGTCCCAATTGCCATGCTGACTTCTGCTTTTACAACGGGATGTAAATGTTAAAGCGATAAGCCCCTTTCAGACATTCCTTTGCAGTAGACTCTGAGGTGCTAGCTGCTCTCTAAGTGGGCTCTATGTTGGTTTAAATCTTTGGCTCCCACGCCAAAGCTAATTTACATGCAGTGGCTGTGTAAACCTGAGGGAATCAAAAGACTTTTAGAAAAACCGCCTTGCTATAAGACGTTTGCGATATTTTATAAATTCCTAGAACCAGTACTATATGAATTTCTACCCCACATTCACTGTGTTTGCAGCATTCATATTTAAAACTTTGTTAAGTTTGGCTTTTGTTTCCCATAATGACCATGTTATGTTATGTAAATGTTAAGCAAACAAGCCCTCCTAAGCATTCCTCAGTTTGGATCAACG